TATGCAGACTGCGTTTCAATTCCAAACTGAAATACAGTTTCAGAAATGTGGACCAAGGCCAAACCTCTGAATTTCCTGATTGAAATTCACCTATAAATCTCACGCTTTTTTAGAGATGAAGCAGAGAATGAATGAGACGCTAGTCATGAACACTGCCTGCAGATTATATACATGAGACCCTTATCCAATGAAAACTTTTGAATGGGCAACTTTCTTTTCTGTCGAAGCAGCTCATAATTTTAAAAACATATCACTGTCATATCAGACAGGAATGTACTACACTTGATCTTAGGCAAAAGGCCAAGAAGTGATTCAGACAGCAAGAGAAGCTGGGCGTGGTGGGGGACACCTATATTCCTAGCAGTCTGGGAGACCGACGCAGGAAAATCGCAGGTTCAAGTCCACCCTTGGCAACTTTGCAAGACTTTGCCTCAAAATATAATGGCTAGGGATAGAGCTCCTTGGAAGGCCCTAGGTTCAATCCCGAGTACTGCTACTATATAACCACCCCAGCCAACCCCACAAGTTATAAATGTTTCAGAAGCAGTGTTCCTATCCAGAAAGACTGGAGGGCTGTATGATTAGCAGAGCATGATGAAGATGAAGACCAGGATGACGAAGGAGCAGCAGTATTAGTAACAGCAGTAATATGAAGAGAAGGGCATTCAGGTATTCAGAGAGCACACAGTTCCGCAGTTACGGTCACAGTCCTAGGAGGGCAGACGGGCTTCTGGGCTGCTGTCTGGATTTTACTGTGAAGAGGCTTCACGAACTTCTCTAAGTCTAGATTTCCTCATTTTAAAAATGAGAGCCAAGTACACATTGAGGCAGCCACAAAAGTAAAGTAAGACAGAATACATGAAGAAAGCTTATGATAGTGCAGGCACCTGATGAACGGGGTGTCACTTCACTGACTGACTAACGATGAGTGTATGGATGATGCTGATGAGTGAGTGATGGAGCTTTCTATGGCCAAACATAACAGTTCTGTCTAAACTTCCTCCCACTAGTCCATGTAACCCCCAGGTCTTGGGTGCTGAGGCAGGAGTCTACAGACCACATGAGCAGGTGACACTTTCTCTACAGACTCCTGAGCAGCAAGGTTTGTCAGCACTCATCTGCCAACCATAACTCTTAACAGATGCAACCCGAGTTTCCCATGAAAGCACCCCGCATGCAGGGATTGCCACATGGTGCTCAAGACGCAGTGTCCACCCAGCTACACACAAACGGAGCCATGGCTGTGGGCCACCTGGGGGCCACGCACGCGGGAGGAAGTGACAGAGCCCCCCCTCCACACAGGCCCAGAGGAGGCCGCTGGTCCTTCTGGAAACTAAAGGAAAGCTGACTTTCCGAAGTTAGAACCAGCTTCAGATTCAATTTCATCTGCAGTCTTATCTTGTGCGTATGAACGCGGAGGAAGAAATACTGAATGTCTCACAAAGGGAGGATGACAGAAGTAAAACACGCAGGGGGCAGGCAAAGATGGAAGGAGAGGGACAGCTAGTGTGTGTCTATCTTTACTTTTAATGACTTCCACTAACTTCGGCCTGCTCTATGACATTAAGGACCTGTGTCTTTAAGGAGAACAACAGCAAAAACACCTCCACAGGTGCCGCTCACTCAAGTGCCATTCCTTCCTGCCCGCGTGGGAAGAAAACCGGGCTTGGAATCTCAGTTGAAATGAGTGAGGTGGAGAAAACTCTCCAGGGCCGGGCTGCCCATGAGACTGGAAAAGTCCTAGAGCAGTGGTGGCGAAAATACAGCGCACCTGCCACAGTGGACCGTTCATGCTGCTGAAAACTCTACAAGGTTCGCCATCACTGTTCTAGAGTTTTTAACTCTGTTCCCTTTAAAGGTTGAGATTAGGGTTTCTTCTCAGCTCTGCTTGCCTAAGCTCTGCAGCCTTGTCCTGGACAGGTGTGCTCTCTCTCTCTCTCGCTCTCTCTCTCTCTCTCTCTCATATCTATTATTTATTTTTATTTCATTAACCTAGTATAAACTCCAATTTGAAGCTAAACCCCTTAAGAAGGCACATCCTCGCCTCTTGCACGAGAGGACGCCAAATAGCTAATATTTCCATATGTTTTCAAAGCCTAAGTCATTCTGTTTTAAGCTGTATCGAAACTTTCTCTTGCAGCTCTGGGTTAGCACAAATACTTAGGATCAGTGAACACTCTCCTCTGGCTACTTTAATCACCCTGTACTGTTAAATTGGTAACACTCATCTGCTTCTCAGGACAAAAACAAAAATCAAGAACTCCCCAAAAACACAAAAGCCATTTCTCTGCCTACTACTGTAGAAATGAAATGAAAAGAATAAGAGAAAAGCATTGCTTCATTACACTGTTAGGAAATTGCAATGTGCATGCAACACAGAACTATGCTTTAAATCAATCATTTTCGTCACACAGCGCTGATTCTAAACCCTCGGCCACCATCTCCTCCAGCAATGGACACGACGACGTCTGTTTGGGCCGAAGTGACGGCTGAGGTTTAGGGGGAGATGGAAGCAATGGAAAAAGAGGAGAGGGCCCGGGCACACTGCATTCAAAAGAAGAACCAGGAACGGGCTTTTCCCCCTGGCTTGGGTGGACACGCGTCTACGGGCAGCTGGGCAGTGGGTCAGGACTGCACCGAGCGCCTCACACTGGCTAAGCAGCTTCGATGAAGTTTACACGGGAAGACTGCGGGGTGGAGGCGGCGCATATCTTGCTGTCATTACAGCAACTTGGGTAGAGAGAGCACTGAGGGCCACCACTGAGTGCGTGGAGGTCTGCGGAAACGGGCAGGCCAAAGAAGACTGGTGCACCCCGGGACTCTGCATGTCCAGAGTGACTTCGAAGACACTCGCGAGGCCGTGGTGAACTCTGGTGAAGAGAGCCTGAGGGAAGACCCCTCCCATCTGGAGGGTGTGTGAGCGACAGTGCGTCCAGTGCTGGGCACGCAGCAGTTAGGAGAGGAAGTTTCACGCAAGGTGCACAACAGAGATAGATTCAGTTGCTGGAAGTCAGCAAAGATCTTGACCATCCTCCTTTTCTGCCAGCACAAGTTCTTTCTTTGAGGGTCACACACAGAATGCCACGTTAGCGTTTAAACTGGGATGTTTCTGAGCGTGAACTGGGAGCTACTGGTGGCTACAGAGGACCCGAGGTCAGGAGGGCAGGCCCCAGGCCCGAGCTCTGGAGCTCCCTCTCAAGGATGGAAAGTGGCCACTTTTCATTTTTATTATTGCTCTTGGCTGTTTGAAAGGGATGAGTGATCTGATTAGTGCCATTTTATTGTGAATTTAAAACAGGTGGGTCAAATCCAGGCAAAGGATCCAACTTCAGGCAACTCAAAAAGAGAACACTTTTTAGAGAAATGGCCGACCCAGCTCTGGACAAAGAACAGACAGCATGCCTGCCCAGCAACATCTCGGCAGACAAAAGCACAGCAAAGATGCCACACACCTGTAATCCCAGCAGTCGGGAGGATGAGGCAGGAGAACGCCATGAGAATTGCCATGAGTTCAGGGACAGCCTGGGCTACATAGTGAGTTTGAGGCCAGCCTGAACTGCACAGTGAGACCCTGTCACAAACACACACAAAGCAAATCCAGCAGCCAGCGAGCAAAACAATAGCAAAGGACTGAAACACATCAAAATCAGATATATCTCAAAACCAGTGACGCATTAAAAACCAAACCTGTGATTTTCTAATATCTAAGAAAGCAGACCTTAAGAGTTCACTTAAAAACCACATTCAGGGTGTGGTGGCACACGCCTGTAATCCCAGCACTCAGGAGGCTAAGGCAGGAGGATCACCGAGTTCGAGATCAGCCTGGGCTTCACAGTGAGTTCCAGGTCAGTCAACTACATACTGAGACCCTGTCTCAAAAAACCAAACAAAGCAAAACAAAACAAAAAAAAGAAATAAGAGAGAACCTTGTAAAGGTTGGGGATTTAGCTCAGTGGTGCTGCTGCCTGCCTTGCAAGCACAAGGTCCCGAGTTTGAACCCCTGTACCAAAAAACAAACAAAACAAAACAAAACCATAGTCAGCAACGGCGAACAAGTGGGTGCTTCAGGCGAGAGGCTACAATATAATGCAAAGGCACAGATCCTCGGAGTCTCAGGGGACTCCTTCCTCCTTGATTTTGTTTTTTTGAAACACTATGAAGCACAGGCTGGCCTTGAACTTACTGTGATCCTCCTGCCTCAGCCGCCCAAGTGCTGGAATTACAGGAATGGGACCCACTTCCGGATCCCTGATCATTTTTAACAAACCTTAACCATAACGAGGTGGTTCACAACACCATCTATTACCACGCAGTCAGCACAGAACAGGAACGTCCAGTGGACATTCACAAATACTAAACACCGAGTGAGCACTAAAATGAATAAACACTAGATGTTAAAATAAGTACATGATACCAAAATGAATGGAGTTCTGGACCCCACCGCTCCCCGCACCTCTGCCAGCCCACCGTAAATGTGCAGCTTAGACCAGCAAATCTCAGAACAGGTGGCTCTGCGGCGCCATGGGTAACTCGGGCTCGGTGGGACGCCAGCTGTGTGCTGATGAGTCTTGTCCTGGCCGCGCCACCCGGACACCAGGCCTTCTCCCCACAGCCAGCGCTGGCTGCAGGTGTAGGCTGGGGCGCGGAACAAAGCGCTCTGTCCAGCCCCGTGGCTCTGCAGTGCGGCAACAGCACTCGCTGTGGGCGTCCATCCACCCCTCCGCTTCTGTGTACGCCACAAAAATAAAGGACCTGGCGCTGCCCTCAGGCCCAGGAGGAACCGGACCACTGCCCACCGGGAGGGACGGGCACAGAGGGGCCTGAGAGGCCGGGCACTCCAGGCCAGCGGTGCAGGGAAGGCTTGGCTGTGAGCGTGGCTTTATGGCCACTGCATGTAAAAACTCAGAAACACCAGACTCCGAATCAAGTGCTCAGGGGTGCTTTCTTCCAGAAAGCCCAACGCTTTGCATGGATTTGCTCAGAAGATAATCGGAACTTACCTGAAGACTGCGAGGGTCAGAGACCAGAGCACTAGTGGCTTCCTCAGCTCGAACTTTGCCCGTTTGTTCATCAGGTGCCGGCCACCAAAGATAAAGGCTGCGTACAGAGCGGAAAACAGGAAAGACTTCTTCCTAGGGACAGACAGACAGACAGGCCTTGTGAGATGCCACTCTGCAGCACCCTACTTATCAGGCAACAGCTTGGATCACTCGCCCTCTTGGTAAGGATGAGCCCGGCCCTGAGCAGGCCCCATCCTCGGGTGACATGGGGTCTGCATAGAGTCCCCTGGGCTTAGGGTGAGGGTGAGGGTTAGTCACGAACAGATTGGCCCACACAATAAATCAAACGTCAGCAGACAGAGATTTTTCTCATTAAAATCTTCAATGTAGCACTGAGGTACAAAAAGCCACCATTTAACTGAAAGAATTAATTTTATTCTCAGCATTTGTGTAGTTACTTTGGATAGACGGATTTTAAATAGAATTGTTTTCACTGGAAATATCTGATAATAGGGTTGTGTACTGGGCAAGAAAGTCATTTAAAATCGCAACTTCCTAGTAGGGTAATGGTACTAAACAATAACCTTGGAGTAGTAATTGATTAAAAACATTAAAATACAAGTTATAGGATTTATGACTCCCAACATGAGTTCGTGAAATCCTCTCCTCCAAGGAGGCCAGCTAGTCAAGAGTCGTTACTGTCAGGCCTACAACAGGAAGAACCCGGAACCATCCCTAGTGCACCTGCCTGGAAACTTAAACTTGAATTTGACCACATCTCTGATCTAACTACTGTTTATAGAGAGTACAGGAAACAAGAGTAAACTGTGGAACACTCAGCAGGACAGTGGAACTTATGTCAACTCAACAGCAGTGGGCAAAATGAAAGGCTACTTTAGACTGAAACCAATTTGAAGCCAGATGTGGTGGTGCACATCTGTAATTCAGTGCTCTGGGAAGCTGAGGCAGGAGGAATCAAAACTCCAAGCTGGGCCTGGGCCACTCAGTAACTTAGCAAGACCTTGTCTTCAAATAAAAAAATGAGAAAAAGGGCTGGGGATGTAGCTCAGGGCTAAGGCCCGGGGTTCAATTTCTATCTGCAAAAAACACTGACATATTCTGAAATATTTATGAGTAAAATTACATCTTAGATTTGCTTTGAAAAACCTTAGAAAACAAAACTAAAAAAGTACAAGTGGAAACATGAAACAAGATTGACAAGAGATGATGAAGACAGGCTAATTGTTCTCTCCTGCAAACATATGCACAAACTAAAAAATATCCCATTGGGCATGATGGCACAGGACTGTAATCCCAGCACTCAGGAGGCTGAAGCAGGAGGATCACCTCTAGTTCAAGGCCAGGCTGGGATATATAGTGAGTTCAAGGCGAGCCTGAACTACATAGCAAGACTCTGTCTCAAAAAAAAAAAAAGCAAAAGTTCCACAGTGTGTTTTCTGAAGGATAATGATTCAATGCAGATGAAATCATCTTTATGAGTAAGGATTTCAAACATCTCCTGAAGCAACATCTCAACATGTCCTTGGTGGGATCACGGTTGTTCTGACTCGGATAGCCTGGGCTGTTGGGCTTTGATGGGATTATTCAGTCAAACACATAAACCACATCAAGTCAAGTTCCCCAGGTCCCCAAGCCTGCTGATTTATTACTGTGCCACATAAAAGGGAGCAATGGTTCCAATAATGCAAACAAACAAAAAGAAAAAGTTTCTATAGGAATACAGTTCAACAGCAGCAGAGGACTTGTAAGTAATTTAAACATCTGTACATACTTTGAGAAACTGCAACGTTTCTCTTAAAATGGGTATTCCCTGCTCAGTTAGATAAATAGGGAAAGGACTGCAAAGCAAGTCACAGGACGTAATACCACAGGCAAAATCTGTTAACCTAAGAGTGCATCTGGAAAGTGCTGCGTATTTTATTTCTATAGCTACCGGCACGTACTGCTGACTCACTCCCTTTATTATCTATATGAGCAACATTCCTATTGGAACAAGTGCAAGTGACCTACTCAAACACTACCTAGTAAAGGGACGATGCCGGTACTCAACTGATAAACAAAAGCTGGAGAAATCATTTCTACCGGGGATGGCAAACACTTCCCTTGGATACACAAGGCCGGGCACACAGTAGGTGTCTAATAAATATTTGTTGAACAAGCACGGGCTTCTGCTCTGAAATTATCTGATGGGGAAATAATTATGCAACTGTGACAGCAGGTGCCCGACAAACAGAGAATGAACAATCAGTAACACTGACAGAAAGCTGTACTTCCTAGGAATATATTCATAACTAAAACTTTCAGGAAAACACTGGTACATTTTCTTCTTAGAAAGAAACAGACTACACTTCTGTACTTCAGAGAGATGTGGAAAAGTGAGGTAATTTTATGGGAACTTTATTGAACATTTCAGGAAGAAACTACTTTTGGCTATAAATATATCCATTGCTTTTATCTCTCTGTTACAATTTGCAAGGGCATGGCATTACATTACTGATCTCTACTTATACATACTATAATATGTAAAACATATTACACATATATATACAGAAAACTCATTTATATATAGGTTAGGACTCACCATCAACCTATTAAGCGAATGAAGGTAACAGCAGTAGAAAATAGTACAATTCCTTTTCCTCAACTGTCAAGGTAATAAATGAGTATAATTACAGGATTCTGCTCACTGGGTAATTCCTACAGATGAACACCGCGCTAAAAGGCTTTGTGTCTTAATCCTCCTGATACCTCGCCACATAGGTGAAGTATTACCTTTCATCTTGTAGGTAAAGGACCAGGCTCAGCTGCTGAGCGGCCTTCAGTAAGCGGTGACCCAGAGCCCTTGGCACTGCTGCATTTTGAGGTCACCATGAACTGGGAGAGCTCTGTTCCCCTGTAACAGGGAAGAGCTCTCCACCCTCCCAGGCCTGGGACACTTGCATCCAAACGCCTCCTCTCTTTGAGAACCCTGAAACATTTCCTCATCGTTATTTATCACTATTTCTCTTACTCAGTATAATTCGGATTGGGGTTATGGCTGCTTTAGTTGTATCACTTGCAATTCTGCACCCATGAAATGAAATGGACATTGTCATACAATTCCATCATTGTAACCTATGACAAAAATGTGTCACAAGAATCAAGGCAAGAATAAACTTTTGCCGGGCCTGGTGGTGCACACCTGTAATCCCAGCACTGGGGAGGCTGAGGCAGGAGGATCACTGTGAGTTCAAGGTCAGCCTGAACTGCAGAGCGAGACCCTGTCTCAAAACCAAATAATAAAAACATTTCTTCTGTGCTTTCCTCCAATTTCCTCACTTCTAGAATAAGAACTCGTCACTACACACTGCTCACTCCCCACAAGGGTCATCCTATTTCCTACATGTTTTTTAAAACTCTCTTTAAAAAAACACCAAGGACACACAAGGTCAGCTAAGGCAAACGATTGCACGGAGTCTGGGAGGAACAGGGGCCCTCGGGGCAGAGCCCAACATCCTCGCTCCAGGGAGGGGACAAAGAGCACGGTGACTGGCAATGGCTGCTCACGGTCACTCAGGCGCACACGGACAGACAGAAGCTGACTTGACCCGGAAGTTGTCTGCCGGTGCCGGGCAGGGGGGGCAAAGTTCTTCCGGGTACAGCTGTACCTGGGCCCTGGGTCACCGGGAATGAGGGCGATATTCCCAAAGGCTGTTCTCTGTATACTGTGCACATCTTCCACTGTGGTGAAATACAAATGATGCTCTGGGTTAGAGTTAAATTTACGCTTTCTTGCTGAGAGGTCACCCAAGGAAGCCTCACGCTCACCTCTTCAGCTGGGTACTCAGAATTCCGGGCTGGAGAGCAACTCGGGGGTGGGCGCTGACTTCCCAAGGGTGAGGCCCTGGGTTCCATCCCCAGCACCACAAAACAAGGAAAATGTGTCATCTACCATTCGAATGTATGATTATTTTTCCATTTTGCTTAGATGATAGGATTTTCTGCAGCAAACTGGACAGTATAAGTGGATTAAAACTGCCTACCCTTCCTGATAAAGGTCCAATGATAGTCAAGATGAGTAACGACTCGCTGCTAACCTACTTCGTATTTAATGTGGATAGATTACTCCCTAATGCTCTCATGTTAATCCAGTAATACTTCATACTCTGGCTGGCATCCAGAGCTGGGGCTGACAGGGGTACCACACGTTTATTGCCAGTTAATTAGTAATTTCTATTTGGCAAGGACTCGTCTTGCTTCATAAATCTTAAATATACGATACATAACACAACCTTTACCTATACTTAAGTACTTATCAGGATGGCAATACTGAAGTTGATTACTAGGTAACCAACCAAATAAAGAAAATACAAACAAAATACTAATGTGTTTTGAGCTTGCTATGCCCGTAAATTTCCCCTCTTTGATTTCTGTCCTTAACAATGGAAAATATAGATGAATCTGGAAATTAGCTTATGAATAACAAATAATGGCTTTATACATAGAGATCCGGATTTTTTTATTATACCACTTTGTCCCAAAACATTCCTAGGAGATGCTTTTTTATTTTTTGGAAGAATAACTGAGTAAGTCTCTGTTTATGGTTTATATTTATTGCCCTACCAGGAACACTTCTGAAAGATCACTTGTAAATTCAAATGCTTTTTTCCCCAGACTCCTCCCGAAACCAGCAGTTACATCAAGATCTCTTTCTTCAAGAGTCAGACAAGTAGGCTGGGGATTTAGCTTAGTGGTTCCACTGCCTGCCTCACAAGTACAAGGTCCCAAATTCCATCTCCAGTAAA